TCCAAACCACGCTGTGGTAACGCATCTCGGCCCCCTCACCTCCATGACCCCAGCCACCCTGGGTTGACGGCGGGTCTGTCCATGAGTCTGGCCTCTCTCCGAAGCTCCATCTACTCAGCCACGAGTCCTGCCTTGGACAGGGGCGACCCCTCTGTCATCCCCTCCTTAGGACCCTCAGCTGACACGGGACAAACTGCCGGGCTCTGTCCTGGAAACTCCAGATGTTAGGTCCCTGGATGCTCCCCAGCAGTCCCTGTGCCCAGGGCCAGGTTCCGGTTAGTGCCAGCTGGTTCCCAGGCCAGGCGTGCTGAGCACGGCGGTGGACGCCCTCTGAGTGCGGGGCTGACCGGACACGGCCCACTCTCAAGCGCTTCCCGGCTGATGGGGCCAGATCATTAGGAAGTGAGAGAGGTGGGAGCTCAGATGAACGCACAGTGGAGAAAGAGAGGTGGAGGCCTTGCCGCTGCTCACACGCGGGGAAGGCAGCGGAGGCAGGCGAGCCCGAGCAGGGGCAGCGGTGGCTGGCTGTGCTCCTGCCCAGTGCTCTCACAGTGCTGGGGGCGAGGAGACCTAGTCAGGGGTGCACGTGCGGGGCCGCGAGGCATTATCCAGCAAAGCGGGCATCGTCGATGTCCCAGGGGACCCTGTGGGTCGTTCCAAGCAAGTGAGAGAAACAACACAGGCGGCTGTGGTCCGGGTACCGACTGGCAGGAGAAGGCAGGAGAAGGTCTGAACATCCCGGAAGAGCCAAGCAGAGGGGGACAGGGTGGGAGCCATAGGCAGCTGCAGGACACAGGGAGAGACCCTGAGGAGTAGAGGGCAGGTGTGGAAAACGGGAGGGAACGCAGGTGGGGGTGGGCTGCACCCGGAGGCCTTGAATGCCAGGTCATAGGGACCTGTGGGCAGTAGGGAGCCATCGAAGATACCTGAGTGAGGGACAGCTCTGGAAAGCTTTTCCTCCTCCCAGAAGACTCTGATGTGGGGGCAGGCTGACAGACCCCCTGAGGCCCAGCTGCCTAACTAGTCACAGCCTTGGCAGGTCCCAAGAGTGCCCTCTCCCTTTCTCCTCCTTCTGGGAGTCATTCAGTGAGGACAGTGTGTCCTGGGAGGCCTGGCTCGTAGCCTCCACGCGGAGGCCACAATATGAACTCTGGACATGGCTCTGCCCCACCCTCCTGTCATGTCTTCAGGGAGCCTCACCAACATGATAATGGCCCCACCTGCCGGCCTCAGAGCCCCCCGGGATGCTTGGCCGTAAGCTGGGCCTGGGATCCCACGAACCCTCCTGCGGCAGTCTGAAAGCTGACCAAGGGTCCAGGAGTCTAGCCTCTCTCGGAAGCTCCGTCTATTCAGCCATGAGTGGTGCCCCCGAGGGCTCAGTTCAGAAGCCTTGGCCCCACCCTGCCTCCACACATCTGTGGTTGCTCTAAATGCAAGCCCTCTTAGCCAGCCCCGTGCCACGTCCTGGTCTTGCAGGCCTGTCAAACCTCATTTCCCAGAATGTACTTCCAGGGTTCCATGTGTTGCGTCTGCAGCCGGAGAAGCCCACCCTACCTGCACCCCACTCCCCAACACTGAGGCTCATGTCTGCACACCCTAGGGCACTCAGAGAGCTGGTGGGACTGTGACAGTGTCACACACTCATGCACAGGTGCGTGCACACGTGTACGCTTCCACACACGGCAGAAAGATACACCTGCTCCCCGGGAACTGCCAGCAAGACCCAACGCCCATGGAGAGACTGGGCTCCTGTACCCCAGACCTGGCTGAGCGGGGGGCTCTGGGACACTCTCAGTTTTGCATGCCTGCAGGGCCACCTTCGGAAGAGTGGCCTGAAGCCACGTGCACCTCCTGGGTGCAGGACCCCTGCGCAGGGAGCAGGGCTTGGCAGCCTTTCCCAAAGGGCTCCTGGGTCTTCACCTCTTTCTCTTCCATGGTGCACTCATGGGCCCAAGAGGAGCCTCGGGGCTGTTTCTTTTGTATCTGCAAAGTTTTGGGGCTGTAAGAGCCCCCTAGGACCCGGAGCAGAACCATCCGTTAGACCCACACAGCCCCCTCTGGTCACCAGCGAGCCACTCCGCAGAGATTTATGGTAATGAAGACACTGTTGGTCCCTGAGAGTGGAGCCTGGTAGGGATCAAAAACCGTTGGTCTGATATGAAGTGAAGGCGGTGGGCCAGCCACGGCGCAGTGGCTCCGGCGGCTAGATACCACACAGCCAGGGCTGCGTTTTGAGTCCCAGATCCGGAGAACTGAAAAACATGTCGGTCGTATGTGCATGTGTTCCCAAAATCCAGAAAGGAGACTGCAGGAGAAGAGATTGGCAGGGTGGCCATTTCCCCAGGGGGTGCTTTCTCACTTTCCCTCTCTGTCTCTGTCTGTCTCTCTACCGTGAATGGACGCTCCCTATAGCCAATAAAATACAGGACATGCAGCATGGCTGCATGCCCAGCTCTTGCTCCGTCTGCCCCGACACTTGTGGTCAGGTGACAGAGGGGCGTGCACGTCCCATTAGACTGGCTTCCTTTACGGCCTCCAGCAGAGGGTGGCATGCCCTGGCTCTGTGCGGTCCCATCTCCTGGGCCCTGCCTCTTTCAGGCCTCCACAGCCACCCCTGCAAATCACGGGCCCACGGGATGGCGTCCACTCGGCCGCCCTGAGCCCACCCCATGGCGGGCCCGTCCCTTGTTCATGGCTCAGCCCTGGCAAGGCCTGCAGAGAACAGCGCCGAGGCCGAGACCAGCCTGTTTCCTCCATGGCAGGGTACACAGTCACGTCGGTCGTGTCCTCCAGGCAGGGACGGGTGTACGTGGCCGGGGCCCCCCGGTTCAACCACACGGGCAAGGTCATCCTGTTCACCATGCACAACAACCGGAGCCTCACCATCCACCAGGCCCTGCGGGGCGAGCAGGTAATAGGGACGGGGACAACGGGAGGAGGCGTCCAAGCCGATGCGAAAGGGGCCAAAGGACAGCTGGGGCCAAGGGGCCCTGCCGCGCACCCCTGCACCCCTCAGCCCTCTCCAAAGGGAGGCCACGCTCCTCTGCACCCCTCGGTCCTCTCCAAAGGGAGGCCGCAGACCCGCCAGCATCCTTCCTGATGGGGCACTGCCACCTTCACACCGACATCGAGGGTGCAGCCCCAACCTCCTGAAACTCGCTGGAGCCTGGGCTGTCCCCACCCCGGAAACCAAGCCCTGGCAGCGGTGCCGGACTAGGAGAGCATCCTGCCCTGTTTCGGGTCACTCTGGTCTCCGGCTCCTTCTCCAGACCATGGCTCCTGGCCACCAGTCTCTTTGCTGCGTTCTGGTGGTCAGGGCTGCAGGTGGCATTGGGGGGCAGCTTCCCAGCCTGGGCCGCCAGGGCCTGAGGCACCCTGAAGGTCCGTCGTGTTCCCAGCCCCTTCTTGCCACTGTAGCCGCCCAAGCTCCTTCCCGTTCCTGGGGTGGCAACCATGCAGCACAGAGCTGTCCCCGTGCCCTGGCTTCCAGTAGGGGCAGCCAGGCTGTGTTGCCTCGAGTCTCATGTCCAATTATCATGAAAGCGAATTCGGAGGCTAGGTGGAGGGTCCTCGGTGAAGACAAGGTTGGAAAACAGGGTTCTAATCAGAGTTCCTTGAGTAGCCAAGAAAATCAGGGTCCTGGGAAGCAATGGGGCTCGTCCAAGTCGTGTGGTGGGTTTGCGACCGGTCTGGCCTTTCCACAGGCCTCTCTTTGTTATGCTACCTCCTGACCCCCAGCAGGCCCCAAACCAGGCCTCAGCTCCTCCCCGCCAGCAGCATCTGGGGCCCTCCTGAGCCTGGGCACAGCGCTGCCGCCTCCTCCATCTCCTATGGCCCTTGGCCGGTCGCTGGTCGCTCCTGCTGCACACGCCCTCTGCGGTTCCTCTTCCTACCGCATGGGGCACTGTGGACCCCCAGGCCGGAGGCCCTCGCCTCCTGCCCACAGTGCTCTGGCCCGGGAATGGCTCTTGTGGGACTCCAGGGCTGACCTTGAGCGCTGCGGGGAATTTGCTGATGAATTTATGACATTCTTCCCGCTCGGTTCCACCTCCAACATCCGAAAGAGAAACCGCAGTGCTGAAGGCAGCTAGATCAAGTGGATTCCAAATCACCGTGACCCACACAGCTGAGGCCACACACGTGTCCCTCCCCGGCCCACCCTGGGTGCATCTGCCTCATAGCTGCTTTATATAGGCTCATCGTCTTCCTCACCCCACCCACGGGGCTGCTTCCTCTTTCTCTCTTCTGGATTTTTCTCTTTCTCCTTAGTTAAGAGCTTCTAGTACATGTGAAAAGATTTCTTCTAGAAATATCCTTAGCCAGGGGACCAGAAGTTGGCATAATGGTTATGTTGCTGGACTCCCATGTAGTCGATCACAGTTCAAGTCCCGGACCTAGTGGCTTAAACTCACACTGGGCGCGTGTGCGTGCGTGTCCAAGATCCCAAGAGGAGAATGGAGGAGTAGGAACTGTGGCGTGGCCATCCCTCCTGGGTGTGTATGTGTGTGTGTGTGATTTCTTGCTTCCTGTCTCTGTCTCTGTCTTTCTGGTGAGCGCACACGTCCTATAGCAAAAAAACTCTCAAAAAAAAAATCCTTAGCCAGGAGGTGGCAGAGGGGAGTTGTGAGGAATGGTGTCAGACCGACCAAGTTCCGGCCAGCCTCTGACCCTGGGCAAGGCCCTGAATTCTTCCCTGTGAGGTGAGGCCCCCGCCCTCGGCAGCATGGGGCAGCATGGAGCTTGCTCGGCTCACCTGCGGCTGGGCAGGGTCTCAGGGCCTGGCCGTGGCCAAGCACCTTCCCCTTTCCTCGAGGGTGCAGCCCCAACCTCCTGAAACTCGCTGGAGCCTGGGCTGTCCCCACCCCGGAAACCAAGCCCTGGCAGCGGTGCCGGACTAGGAGAGCATCCTGCCCTGTTTCGGGTCACTCTGGTCTCCGGCTCCTTCTCCAGACCATGGCTCCTGGCCACCAGTCTCTTTGCTGCGTTCTGGTGGTCAGGGCTGCAGGTGGCATTGGGGGGCAGCTTCCCAGCCTGGGCCGCCAGGGCCTGAGGCACCCTGAAGGTCCGTCGTGTTCCCAGCCCCTTCTTGCCACTGTAGCCGCCCAAGCTCCTTCCCGTTCCTGGGGTGGCAACCATGCAGCACAGAGCTGTCCCCGTGCCCTGGCTTCCAGTAGGGGCAGCCAGGCTGTGTTGCCTCGAGTCTCATGTCCAATTATCATGAAAGCGAATTCGGAGGCTAGGTGGAGGGTCCTCGGTGAAGACAAGGTTGGAAAACAGGGTTCTAATCAGAGTTCCTTGAGTAGCCAAGAAAATCAGGGTCCTGGGAAGCAATGGGGCTCGTCCAAGTCGTGTGGTGGGTTTGCGACCGGTCTGGCCTTTCCACAGGCCTCTCTTTGTTATGCTACCTCCTGACCCCCAGCAGGCCCCAAACCAGGCCTCAGCTCCTCCCCGCCAGCAGCATCTGGGGCCCTCCTGAGCCTGGGCACAGCGCTGCCGCCTCCTCCATCTCCTATGGCCCTTGGCCGGTCGCTGGTCGCTCCTGCTGCACACGCCCTCTGCGGTTCCTCTTCCTACCGCATGGGGCACTGTGGACCCCCAGGCCGGAGGCCCTCGCCTCCTGCCCACAGTGCTCTGGCCCGGGAATGGCTCTTGTGGGACTCCAGGGCTGACCTTGAGCGCTGCGGGGAATTTGCTGATGAATTTATGACATTCTTCCCGCTCGGTTCCACCTCCAACATCCGAAAGAGAAACCGCAGTGCTGAAGGCAGCTAGATCAAGTGGATTCCAAATCACCGTGACCCACACAGCTGAGGCCACACACGTGTCCCTCCCCGGCCCACCCTGGGTGCATCTGCCTCATAGCTGCTTTATATAGGCTCATCGTCTTCCTCACCCCACCCACGGGGCTGCTTCCTCTTTCTCTCTTCTGGATTTTTCTCTTTCTCCTTAGTTAAGAGCTTCTAGTACATGTGAAAAGATTTCTTCTAGAAATATCCTTAGCCAGGGGACCAGAAGTTGGCATAATGGTTATGTTGCTGGACTCCCATGTAGTCGATCACAGTTCAAGTCCCGGACCTAGTGGCTTAACATCACACTGGGCGAGATTTCTTCTAGAAATATCCTTAGCCAGGGGACCAGAAGTTGGCATAATGGTTATGTTGCTGGACTCCCATGTAGTCGATCACAGTTCAAGTCCCGGACCTAGTGGCTTAAACTCACACTGGGCGCGTGTGCGTGCGTGTCCAAGATCCCAAGAGGAGAATGGAGGAGTAGGAACTGTGGCGTGGCCATCCCTCCTGGGTGTGTATGTGTGTGTGTGTGATTTCTTGCTTCCTGTCTCTGTCTCTGTCTTTCTGGTGAGCGCACACGTCCTATAGCAAAAAAACTCTCAAAAAAAAAATCCTTAGCCAGGAGGTGGCAGAGGGGAGTTGTGAGGAATGGTGTCAGACCGACCGGGCAGGGTCTCAGGGCCTGGCCATTGCCAAGCACCTTCCCCTTTCCTATCCAGTCCAGCCAATAAGATTCAGCAAGTATCTCCCGTGTGCCAGGCTTGGCACCAGGCCTGACGGGGCCAACGGGCCCAGTGCCCATCTTCATGAGGCTCCCAGAGGAGGGAGAGGGCTGGTGAGAAGAATGTGGGACCAGCGGCACATCAAGAGGGGCACCCGTGGCTGTGAGTGGGGTGGGAGAGGTCAGAGACAGCTTCTAACAGGAAGCGAAGCTTCGGACAAGGCCTGAGGGTGGCAGGTTGTCCCTGGAGAGGGAGGAGGGCAGAGGGATGAGCTTGTGTAGAGGGAGCCCAGAACCTGGCCGGCCCTGGGGCTGATCCCGTCTGCAGTCTGGCCGCAGCCAGGAGCATGGCGCTGGGAGCCAAGGGTGGTGGGATAGAGACCAGGAAGGAGGGGCCTGGCAGAGCCATGCCGAGGGGCTTAGGCTTTACCCCCAAGCAAGGGCGTGGTGTGGTCGGCTGCCTAAGGTCTTCGGAAGGTGCCCAGGGAGCAGAGGGTGCACCGACCTCACCGGGCAGCGCTTGCCAGGAGCTTCTAAGTGGGAGAGCCGGAGGGTGGGCCAGGAAGAACCCTCGGGTTTCTGAAGAGTGGATGGGCCGCAGTGGGGCGCACTGCACCCCAGGTGGGAGAGGGACAGAGAGCTCAGATACTGAGGAGAAACGATAATTCACCACCCGAGACACTGACTCCAGAGTGACTTGTCAGCCTCAATGCTGAGAACCAGCTGACGGCCAGCCCATGGCCTGATGGTTAAGAGTGCTATATCCCACATGGCCAGCCACGCCGTTCGAGCCCCAGACCTGGTACCTGTGTGCATGTGCCCAAGTCCTGATGGTACAGAAAACCAGAGGCGGGGTTATGGCACGACTGTTCCTCGTGGAAAGTGCTTTCCCCCCTCTGTCCGTTCCTATCTGTCTCTCTGGTGAGTCATGACCCATTACAAAATTTAAAAGCTAATTAATTAATTAACGAAGCTAATGGAGTCAGCAGCTGGCGTGGTGGTTAAGGTAATGGACTCCCATGTGGCTGACCCCAGTTCAAGTCCCAGACCCAGTGGCTTGAAAATCATGCCAGACACGTGTGTGTTTGTGCCTGGAATCCCAAGAGGGGAATGGATTGCAGCATAGCCACCCCCTGGGGGTGATTTCTTGCTTTCCCTCTCACTGTTTCTCTCCAGCGGACTCATGTGCTCTATGGCAAAAACCTTAAAAAGAAAACTGAGCCAGCAAGCGGCGGAGCGCTTCAGGGGACTCACCCGCGGGTCCCAGACCTGGCAGCTTGTGTCTCACTCCCCTCTCTCTCTGCCTCTCTCTGCTTAGCACATGTGCCTGTAGGAACTTTTACATAATAATAACAAAGAAATATAATCAAATAATTATTTCTAAAAATAAAGAGCTAACAGTCTAACAGCAGACAATTGGTGAAATACATTATGGCCCATGCGTAATTTTGAGTATGACGGAATCGCCAGTGACCGCGCCATAGAAAGATATAGCCCACCATGGGGAAACTCCTCGCGACACGTAGTCTCATTTTAAAAACCAGCACACAGGGCCTGCTGGTGGCATGGTGGTTAAGGCAGCTGGATTCCACATGGCTGACTATGCAGTTTGAGCCCCAACTTCAGTGGCCAGAGAAACACGCTGGGCACGTGTGCATGCATGCCCAAAATCCAGACAGGAAATGGAGGAGAAGGGACTACAGTGTGGCTGTCCCACCTAGAGGGTGAGCTCTCACTTTCTCTGTCTCCCAGTAAATGCAAATGTAGCAAATTTTTAAAAACAAGTTTTAAAAATCAGTATAAAAATTATATAGGTAGGGACCAGCAGTTAGCGTAATGGCTATGTCGCTGGACTCCCACGTAGTCGACCGCGGTTCAAGTCCCAGACCCGGTGGCTTAAACTCATGCCAGGTACATGTGCGTGTGTGCCCAAGATCCCGAGAGGAGAATGGAGGAGAAGGGATGGTGGTGTGGTCATACCCCCTGGGGGGTGATTTCTCGCTTGCTGTCTCTCTGTCTCTCTCTGGCTGTCTGGCAAGCACATGCCCCCTATAGCAAAAACCTCTCCCCCCCAAAAATAAAATTATATATATATAACCTGTATATATAAAATAAATCATATATTTTTTACTTATTACATAGATAGGTAATATATCAATCTGCAAAATAAAAACATAGGGACTTCAAAAAGTTTGTGAAAAATGGAATTAAAGTATGAGTTTATTTTAGCGCAAAAAACTGGAAATCTGTCCACTTATCATGGACTCTAAACACATCTGACACAGGTGCGAGTGGGAGACCAGAAGGAAAGACATCGCCCCCGTGGGGTAGTTCTAGTGGACTGCGGGTTGCTTTTGTTCATACTTTTTTTTGTATTTCCCTTATTTTCTCAGTCTCATCTATCAGTTACAGTCAGAATAAATGGCCACTCATAAAATTAAATGAAGAAAAGAAAGGGGAATGGGGAGGGGGCATACAGAAAGAGGAAGAGGGGGCGCAGAAGGGCACGCCCCGGTGATCCACTCCAGGGCAGGACAAGAAAAGAAGGTCATCGGAGGGCCCACTCGTTCACCGAGGTTTCTGGGCCGAGGGATGACCCTGGCTCCCCGCCGGCGGGGTGTGGCGGGGTGTGGCGAGGTGTGGCGAGGTGGCAGTCCAGCCCACGCCCGCTCCCGTCCATCCGCAGATAGGCTCTTACTTCGGGAGCGAGATCACCTCCGTGGACACTGACGGGGACGGCGTGACGGATGTCCTGCTGGTGGGCGCGCCCATGTACTTCAGCGAGGGCCGTGAGCGGGGCCGGGTGTACGTCTACCGCCTGAGACAGGTACTGTGGGCACCGGCAACCGCAAGGGAACCTGGGTATCAGAGAGGCCAGTGCCCGCCTGCAGGAGCCAGGCCACGGGGGTAGGAGCCCCTCTGCCTCTGTCGCCAGAGAGGGGCCCTGGGGGATGAAGGGCGAGCATACAGCAGCAGGCCGAGGAGGTCACGGCCCCGAGGACCCATGAGGCCCCGAGCCCAGCCCTGCCCTGGTCTTGCAGAGCCGGTTTGTTTTCAACGGGACGCTGAAGGACGCCCACGGTTACCAGAACGCCCGGTTCGGCTCGTCCATCGCCGCGGTGCGCGACCTCAACCAGGACTCCTACAACGACGTGGTGGTGGGGGCTCCTCTGGAGGACGGCCACCGCGGAGCCATCTACATCTTCCACGGCTTCCAAGGCAGCCTCCTGCAGGTGCCGAAGCAGGTAGGGCTCCCTGGAGGAGACGGCCGGAGTGCCGGGTGGTGGCTAGTACGTGACCACAAGGCTCAGGGTGTTCTGTGTCCTGTGGCAGGAGACCGTCCCAATCCGTCTTTCTATACGTGTCTCCGGTCAAGAGTTCAAAGTGGGGTGCACTTTACTTCCAGGACCTTCCCGCCAGCCCTCCCAGCACCCTCTCCTGCTCACCTCGTGCTCCCGCGAGGAAAGCAGCACACCCGCGGCGTGGACACTGCCCTCCCCTGCGCTCGTGCAGCTGGCTGCCAGTGAGGGCTCCTGCCTGGGCTCCATCCTCTCGGGGCCGCTTCACACCCAAACCTTGCTTCCCTTGGAACTGAGCCACCCCGGGGGCCCGTTCCCGGCCGCCACAGGCCGGCAGACGCTCCCAGTATGCCGAGAGCAGACGCGCTGGGCCACCTGCCAGGACCGTGCGTTTGCCCTAAACGAGGGGCTCTTTCAGACACGGTGTTTGAATCCGAAGGAAGGACTTTGACAGGAGGGGCCTCAGGTGCCATGACGGGCCAGGCAGGAGAGAGCTTTGGGCTGGGGAAGCTTCTCCGACTGCATCCGCCTTCGCTGCCCCGCCCTGGGCTCCCGGCACACCTGCCTGCTCTTTTCTGTCCCCGCAGCGAGTCGCAGCCTCCGAGCTGGCACCCGGCCTCCAGTATTTCGGCTGCAGTATCCACGGGCAACTGGACCTCAACGAGGATGGGCTGGTCGACCTGGCAGTGGGTGCCCTTGGCAACGCGGTGATTTTGTGGTTGGTCTCCCACTTTCTCCGGCCCTGGGCGCTCCTGAGAGTCGCGGCGGTGTAGGGCTTGAGAAAGGGGCTTCAGGGTCTCTGTCCTTTGTCTTTAACCCACTGGCAGCCAGACCCGCCCTGCTCTGAGCCCACCCTGCTTACAGATGTTCAGTTTATGAAAGATGCGGAAGCTGTCCTGAAATCGAATCCCTCTTGTCAATAGATTCTAGGACTTCAGACCAACCCAATGTCCACAAGCCCCGTGGAGAATTGGTCCTAAACGTCCTCTCGACTCGGGCATTTCCTACACTTCAGCTTTTCAAGCTACTTACGGGGACCAGATGAGCACATTTTGTACCAGCAGGAGGACCTTCCCCTCTCCCCTGGTGTGGACGAGTGTTTATGTGATACAGAGATTCCTCTGTATCAGATGCAGACCCCTCTGACTTTCTTCTTTTTTTTTTTTTTTTTTTTTTTTTGAAGGGGTTTTCCCTATAGGACAGAAAGCGAGAAATCACCCCCCAGGGGGGATGGCCACGCCGAAATCCCTTCTCCCCCGCTCTCCTCTTGGGATCTTGGGCACGCATGCACACGCACCCGGCATGAGTTTTAAGCCACCGGGTCCAGGATGCGAACCGCGGTCAACTACGTGGGAGTCCAGTGACATAGCCATTATGCTAACTGCTGGTTCCCGGGAGTCCAGCATCTTAACCACCACGCCACCTGCTGGCCCCTTGTTGCCTTTTTGTAGAGCCTCCTTTGAATGCGTTTGTTAGATTGTTTGTTTGCTATAGGGTGTATGTGCTTGCCAGAAAGAGACAGAAAGAGAAAGTGAGAATTCAACCCCCAGGAAAGATGGCCATGCCACAAACCCTTCTCCTCTTTGGATTTTGGTCACGCATGCACCTGCACCTGGCTTGATTCTCAAGCCACCAGGTCCAGGACACAACTGCCAAGCTGGCCCTGTGGGATCCTTAATCTCCATGCCACCTGCTGGCCCTTTAATGCTTTCCAAGGGCTGATACGTTTCACCACGTATTGGCTACTTTTTGAGTCAAAAATAATGATAATTTGCTCTTTCTTACATATGTCAGTGAGATCTGTTTCATCATAAATGCAACAACAGAGAATGCTTATAAAATAAGGAAAAAGACCCCTCAACATTACTCTGCCCTAACAAGACCACTGTTAATGTTCTGGTCTGTTCCCTCCCACCCTCCCCCCACCCCATTTACACACACTGCATATATTTTACACAAATGCAATCGTATTTTTTATACAACTTTAAAAAGGATTTAAAGAGAGCTATCAATGACTTTCCAGGGAGTAACGGAGGCCAGGGGTGCTCCTGCATTCTTAAGAATCTTAGAACAGGGACCAGCAGGAGGCTGGCAGGGGTGGTTAAGGCACTGGATTCCCACGTGGCCAACTGTGGTTTGAGTCTTGGCTTGAAACACCGGACACATGAGCATGTGTGCCCCAAATCCCTAGAGAATGGAGAAGGGATTGTGGCATGGCTATCTGCCCGGGGGTGATTTCTCGCTTTCTGTCTCTCTGTCTCTCTCTGTGTCTCTGGCGAGCACACGTGCCCTATAGCAAAAATTTCGCAAAAAAAAAAAAAAAAAAAAAAAAAAAAAAAAACACCTTAGAATAAACAGAAATGTCTTAATCCCCCTTCCCTAGAAAACAGTCTGGGTAAAAAGCTTCGTGTGAACACTTGAGAGTGGGTTCAGTCCTCGAAGCACGAGTTGAGGAAAGGAAGACAGTTGATAGGAGGGGACTTCAAGAAGTTCGTGGAGAAATGGAAATTCAGTTTGAGTTTATTTTGATAACATAAAAAAGCGAAAATCTATTATTCACGATACACATTTCCAGTGCTTTCGAAGACCCTTGCTCTGAGCAACGCATTACGGAGCGAGCCACTGCCGCCCTAAGTGCAGCTCCTTGTTTGGCATCTCTGCATCTCCAGAGAGGCAGCAGGAAGCGGCCCATGGTAGGGACGAAGGGAACAGCATTTCTGCTGGCTCCTAAGGTCCCCGTTACCCACAGCCGAAGCACCAGCACCCACCCTGCCAGGGCAGCACTGGGGAGGCTGGTCTCTGAGCCCGGCCAGCCTGTGCGCGGGCACGTGGTCTGCCTCTCTGTGCCGGCCTGCACCACAGTGGGGGCTCTCGGGCCTTTGGTGGCGGCAACAGTCGGGACTTGAAAGGCACAGGAAGGGGACTGGCTGCTGGCTCCAGCCAGACTGCAGGACAGGTGCCCAGAGCCGGGGAGGGACAGACGCGGCCCTGCGGGTCCTCGGGGCGGCACAGAAACTTCACTATGGAAGAGAGACACCGTGCAGGCAGCCACACGCCGAGACTCACTCCACAGGGAGGGTTCAGTTGAGCTCCGTGGTCTGGACCGACGAGCTAGTCACGAGGCCCGGCCAGACCCTGTGGGAAGACATGCTGGTCAGATGTGCCTGTCTGCTGGGGGCACCTGGGGAATGTTTAAGCCACACCGCCCAGGCTCCCCCGGCCGATCACAGCGGAAGTCTGCGAGCCACGGCCTGCGGGCCGGTTTCCACAGCGCCCACACTCGGTGGCACTGCCACTCACCTTCGCTTCATTTGGTTTTGGCTTTTTTTTTAAGGCTTTTGCGATATGGTGACAGCGCTCACCAGATAGCAATAGTGAGAGGGAAAGTGAGAAATCACCCCCCAGGGGGGATGGCCATGCAGCAATTCCTTCTCCTCCATTGCCCTCTCGGGATGTTGGGCACGCACGCACACGCGCCCGGCATAATTTTCACAATCCCGCATCAGAGGAGTCATGTGACCTGCCCAAGGCCAATGAGGAAGCAGAGGAGCCAGGACTCCCGCACAGAGGGGCCGCCCCCCAGCTGAGAACAGAGCCGGCCTCTGAAACGGGATCACACTGCCCCCGTTCACGTCCATGGGGAGAGAGGCACTGAGCTCCGTTTGCCTTAGACTGACGTAGGGTGACGGCCTTTCCTGGGCCACCTGGGCGGGGCTGTGCCGGGGTGGGGGAGACTCCAAGACACCCACACATGGGATCCCCGAGGGAGCGGCACACCAGGCTCTTCAAAGTGTGGTCCGTGGACCATCGGCACCCCCATCACCAGAGAGCGTGTCATAACGTGAACCAGGGCCGCCTGTAGCACAGAGGTGAAGCACTGCACGTGGCCAACTACTGCTCAAATCCCGGCCCTGGTGGCTTAAAACACACCTTTGGGAGACCAGCAGTTAGCGTAATGGCCATGTCGCTGGACTCCCATGTAGTCAACTGCAGTTCGAGTCCCGGACCTGGTGGCTTAAACTCACTCCAGGCGCGTGTGCATACGTGCCCAAGATCCCGAGAGGAGAGTGGAGGAGAAGGGATTGCGGCATGGCCATCCCCCCTGGGGGGTGATTTCTCGCTTTCTGTCTCTCTGTCTCTCTCTGTCTTTCTGACAAGTACATGCACCCTATAACAAAAAACCTCTCAAAAAAAAAAAAAAAGAAAAGAAACACACACTGGGTACTTGTGTGCGTCCAAGATCCTGGGGTGGAGAGATGGAGGAGAGATTTCAGTGTGACCACGCCCTGTGGGGGAAGGGGTACTTTCCTTCTCTCGCTCTCGCTCTCTCTCTCTCTCTCTCAGTCTCTCTCTCTCTCTCTCTGGCAAGCACACATGCCCTCTGGCAATTAAAGAAAAACCATGTGTAAAAAAATCCGGGCTCAGTGCCTCGCTATTGGGTCATCATGTGGATTGTAAGAAGACCCCCAAGGGCTGAGCAGAGCACGTGCTGAAACCCGACGGCGCTGCTCTAGAGCGTACCGTCAGCGTCGCGTTCAGATTTAAGCTGGCGGGGCACAGCTTGGGCTCCGGCATGTCTTCAAGCCCCGTGGATGGTCTAATGAACATCCAGGGCAGGTTGCCAGCAGCGGGCGAGCCCCGAGCCCCCTGTGCTCTCCGGGCCCGCCCCCTGACACCCAGAGCCCCCTCCTCGCCACCCTCCAGGGTGAGTTTGCAGGTTTTGTTCAGGTCCGCCAGCCCCACCCACCAGCTCTGGCCCTTCCCCTCCAGGTCCCGGCCTGTGGTTCAGATCAACGTCAGCCTCCACTTCGAGCAGTCCAAGATCAACATCTTCCACAGGGACTGCAGGCGCGGCGGCCGGGACGCCACCC